TCTGGTGCCAAGTTATTGTGATCTTGAGCAAGCAAGCCTTTGCCCCTGCTGAAGAAGGCAGCACAGTGGAAATGGAAGGGGCTGTGGATGAAAGGGAAGAACTTACTCCCTGGTCCACACCTCATTAGGGCGTAGACTCCCGATGCCAGACTGGGAAGAGAGAAGTGCAGAAAGAGGGGAAGTCATTCAACTCCCCGTTCTCTCACCTCCTCAGGGGAGCGACATCACCTGGTTGTTTTCCATAAATAGATTCCTATTTTTCATTTGCAGTTTTAGTAGTCAAGTGGAAGGAATGCCAAATATTCATTATAATTGTAAAATTTAAGTGCCCGTGTAACTCACGGGGTGTGCTTAAGGTGACATAAAAAATAACTTGAGTGCTGTGCCATATCGTCTGATTAAATTTCCCTCTGTGGAATATGCCACCTCTTCTAGAAAAATAAACATAGCCATCGTGGCTGGCTTTTCTTCTGAGTGACTTGGTTGAGGCGAAAACACGAGGTTGAGGTTTGGGCCATCCTAAAACCTCTGAGTTTTCCTCATTGGAAATACTATAAGGTTAGAGAAAAGGAGGGTAATTCATAGAGCTGACAGATATCTTCATCTGAATTTCAACACAATTCCTTTTCTGATCTGCTTTACTTCTTATTTCCGTTAATTAATCTAAACATCACTGTGCTCTCACCGAATGGGCACAATGGAAGACACCCCCTGGGTGAAGGGTTCAAGTACAACTTGAACTTTAACAAACGCAAACAATATAACTTAATCCTTTGTACCCTCTTATAAATAATTGTGTTTATTTTTTTAAGTTGATTATGTACTTTCTTTGGCCAGGCATTTTCCTGCGGCCTCTAAGTTCCATTATTTTATAGCGCTTGGCCCAAAGAAACAGGGGCTCTAGACCTAAGGCAAACAAGATAGTAAAGTCAAAATTTAGAAGATTTGGGTAATAAAATGTGGGAAAGTCAATCCAAACTTAGTACTTGTCATTGTTTTTGATGCTTATCTTTTGTGAAAGCAGGGTAGATTTCTCTCCTTTGAGTCTAAAACCTTTTCAAGAACTTGTATCTAGTTGTATTTCCTTAAAATTTCTTCGCTTTAGTATTTCTATAAAATACTAAAAATTTCTATACTTTTAGTCTAATCGAGATTGCCTATACTTAATTAAGTGTCACAATTCCAATATAACCATTTTATGAATAACTATAATACTATAATTGTCTTTTGTTTTGATCACCATACCACTTTTTCTCAGTATTGACGATAAACTTAAAATGTTGGTCTATTGGCTTTATACAATTCCGTAATGATTTTGGTAGGAAATAAAATATTTTAATATTCAAATTAGTCTTGGATTATAAAATATTCCCTAAATAAGTTTTTCTTAACACTGATATTATTACATAGAGTACAGAACTGTACTGTTTTCTAGAGTTCCTATTATATCTGCTGTTAGCTGACAATAATAAGAGAGACCCTTTTTCACATTATTTAATAATTCTTCAATATACTCAGATTTGAGAATGTATAGCCTTCAGGATATTTGAAAACCCTTTGGGAGCTTTACTGAAAAAGTATAATTTTAATTTTTCCATTTAAAATAAAGTGGTGAAACATTATAAATAATCTGAGAAGTATAGGGGAAATATATCTAAAGTTCGAACCTTCTCTTTTGTGAATTCTATATATGTGTATATTTTTACATCGTTTTAATAATAGAATACATAAAGCAGGTATACTGTTTTTAACGTGATGTATTATCCGAAACATTTTGGTATAAAAAGGTACATGGAGATAGCATACGGAAAGTCTGTAATTTTGGATGCAAACTGTTTCTTATTCCAATGTGTTGCCTGCCTAGTTAGCTCAGCTGATTGAACCATGGAAAAAAACTGATGAAGGTTATGGTTTCAATTTCTGAGTAGGCCAGTTAGCGCCTCTCTGTTTCATGGCCACATGAAGAGACTAAATGACTTAGAAAGAAAATATGGATGGATGCGTTAGTGCGAATTCACCTCCTCTGCAGGAAAAAACACTCATAGCCCCAAACTTAGGTTTGTGCCAATCCCTGGCATTAGCGTCAGGAAAAAAAGAAACAAGAAAAAGAATCTTGAGTCTCCAGATACAAAAAGTGAATGCCATATAGCTTTCATCTCCATAATGTAAAATAATGACCTGCCTTTTCTTTTTATAGTTACAGTTGAGGGGCTCCAGCTGATCACCTGTCTAACATTATTGCAAGCCTGGTGGGAAGCATTGGAGGAGACATAGTCATGTTTTCCTTCCACTAGGAAATCATTTAGCAAATTGCTGCTGTTCTGTAAATTACCATGCTACCCAACTTTCATACTGAGAAACTATTTTTTTCCTTTAAAAAATGCAGATGAAAGGTTTCTGCGACAAATAACCTATATTTAAAACAAACCAATTCCTAGAATTTAGAGAATGTGATATAGCAGTTCTCAAGTGGAAATAAAAACAAATACATTTTTATTACTGATATTAAGCACTGACATATTGTCTGGTGAAGTCAGTTTTTCATTTATTACCTGTTTCCTTTGTCATCTATTGAGATGAGTGTACGGAACTGAACTCCTACGGATCAAATAACAAGCTAAGTACTTAACACTGTGAAAGGAAAAGAGCGAATTTGGAAATGAGGGTTCTTTAAGCCTAAGTTTTCTATCTTGAAAAGAGTCCCACAATCAGTAATCAACTTAAATAGAACAGAAGAGTAGGAGCAAACACTTTTATTATGCTACGTCTTGTTTAGAGTATCCGTCTGAAGAGAAGTAGTTCAATCTCTTTAATTTTGCATTGAGGTTATCCGTGTATGCGCAAACTCCGTCTGGGGAAATGTGGCCTTTCCCCACAACCAGTACGACTAAGAGGGTCACAATTTGAATACATCATTGCTGACGTGGCTGGGTGCATACAGAAGAACTAATTCTTCTGGCCTTTTCCAGAAACACAGGGATAATGGAACACAGAGCTGGCTCATTTCATTTCAGTAGCAATAAGATAAAAAAGTAAGAGGCAGGAGAGAAAGTAATTCTTCAGAGAATGAGGTCCCATTTTAGGGCCGCCTTTTCATAAAAGAAGGGCTTGGAAACAAAAGTGAATGATTGATACTCGTAAAGCCTGGTGAATAGTAAGTAAATCCTCCCCCACATAAAAAGTGTTATGAGTAATAAACAGAAAATGCTTCATCGTAGCTAAAATTTCAAAAGAACAATCCTGATAGGTGCACATTAAGCGTAAGGCTCCCTGGGCCTTACACTAGTTATGGCTTCACTAAACTTAAATATACGATGTTCGAATCCACAGTGAAATAAAGCTGTGGCAAATGAGGAGCAGACTCAGGAGGATGGCGTAAATGGTTTCGCTGTTGCAAATTAAAACCTTAAGGAAAAGGTTAAAAGAACCCTTATGATTCATTTTGAAGATGAGTAGACTAAGAAATCATTTTTTATCATTTTCTCCCAGCCTTTCTCAACCAGTGTCCCCTATGTAAACTACAGAGCACAGAAGATACTTTAAGTGGCAATTTTCTCAATTCTCCTATGTATGGTGCAGAACTAGAACCGTACTAGATACAGTAAATCGAAATTAATTGATTATATACAAGGGTGCTTTAGGGAACCAGGACTCAATTCTCACCTATTATGAAGGTTGATGACAATTGGATACACAATGGATCATAAACTAATGCTGGCAGGGCATTTGGAACCTAGAAAATGCATTTAAAAAGCTGGAGATGTATAAATAAGATATAGGGTGGAATTCCTAAAGATAAATTAATTAGCATTATACTTCTTGAAGAAAGCTATATGGTCTCCTCCTTCTGGGGATTTTGAAGTTTGAATTTACTTTCTTCTCACTGGCATGGGATCAAGTACATTGCCCTTGGAGGCAGAGTTTTTGGTCCCAACCTTAAATGTATGTGTTTGGTTCATCCACAATGGAGTTATTCAAAGGTCTAAAGTGATGAAGCCCCGGGAGGAGAAGCTAATATAGCTAAGAAGCAGTAGCCTGAGCTCCATTACTTCTCTGAAGAACTCAGATCATGACCCAGAGAAACACCCATCTCCTGGTGTCAAGGAAGGCAAAGAAACTTCCCATCACAAAGGGAAAGCTCATGCTAAAGGAATCTTGAAAAGAACAGTTTCTAAGCCTTCTTGGATATTTAGCAGTATCTTTGGTTATATCATTCATGTTAAATTTTTTTCTAAAAGGTAGTGGCTGTTGAACACAGAACACTACTTTAATGACACAGACTTTTAAATCTGAAGGAAAAAAGACTGTTAATCAGAACTACAGATAAAGATGTGGAAGACAAACTAGATATTCATAAGGCAGATCTCAAAGAAAATGTTGGTGTTTTACTCTCTGAAAGCAACCTGATTTCGTAGGTCTATTTTCTGATGAATGCGAACGTAGGAAAATTCTGGATACTGAAAGTTTTATGAGTTAAATTCCAAGCGATTAAAGTCCTACTGTACGTTGTTGGCCCGTAGTGATCTTTTATTCATCAATTCATATTATCATGATTCTGGGATTGTTGACAGAGATCACTATTGACTCGGGTTGTACATTTAAACTGTAAGTGACTTTTTCTAATGATACTTAAAGGAGTATTTGGACAAGGCATCAGTCACACTGTGGATACAATCTGCCTTCTCTGGCAACTTATTATTAATGTAAAATGAGAGTCCATATTGATCTTTGCTTATGCAGGCAGTTCACATGAATTCTATGGAACTGCAAGTGAGCAAACAAGGGCGAGTTTTGTCGTTTAAGAAAACGACGGCTGGAATGCTGGACTGCAAACATCTCTTTTATAATAAACAAAGATACCCTTTTACTTGCCCAACTTCCCGCCGTAATGAAGTAAAAGGTTTGAACGCTGAAAACAGGGTAAAGCTTGAAAATGAATGAGTCCGTGAATATGGTTTTTCTTGGCTTTACCTAACTCTCACCTTCTTTTGCATCTACAGCTATTCAAGAGCAAGAAAATGAACCTGTGGCCCTGTCCGTAAGCCCAGATACCTCCTTAAATAAGTCACAGTTAGATGACTGCCCGAGGGACTCGGGTTGTTATATCTCATCAGAAAATTCAGATAATGGCAAAGAAGACGTAGAGCCGGAGAATCTGTCCGACATGGTACATAAGATTACAATCACGGAGCCAAGTGACTGAACACACGTGCTCCACTATGTGTCCGCAGATACATTACATTCGAACTCCTCTTGAGCTAAAAGATCAAATCGAAGGGGAGAAATATTTGTAAATATAACCGGAGGTGAAAATGTTTCATATGAATTGTACATACAAGTTCATATCTCTAACATTCCCAATTATTGTAAATAAAATGTATATTTATTATTTCCAGTGCAATGTGTTAATATTTCACTTTCCTGTATTAGGAAAATCATACCGTAAGCCTTTGCTCTGTGCAACATAGGCTTTATCTGGCTTTACAAATATAAAATGATACAATCTGTGAAAACAAGCAAACAATTTTTATACCTGCAGTTTTGAATGTATATATATTATTGAATGAATAGTAACAAAACATGTCTCCGTGACTGATTTGTCCAAATGGCACCTACATTCATTTTTATACTTACTGGGAAAGCGAGAGTTAATATTGGGGACCTTTTATCCTGACTCACAGTAAAAAGTTAGTAATTATTTTTTGCTGATTTCTACCCTCTGTTATCTGGTATAAAATATAGATAAGAGTATATTGTTGCCTCTGATTCAGTAAAACTAATTTTAATAATCGTGCCGATGCCTTGTCTTTCAGTGTAAATATTTTTAACTTTGACGTGCCCTAATTTTAACAATAAAAAGGACTGTGTGCCTATTATATTTTCTGGACTAAGTGTTCTTTGAAGTATTTTAATATTAGAACTTTAGAAAAAAATATCTTCTACCACAGAAGATTTCATAGTCACTTTTTAAAAAAAATTAATGGTTCCCAAATCTATTATCTCAGCCTCTTTCTGTCTCCTGAACTCTAGTTCTGTCTTACTCAATTTCTGGGTAACCCCGGGAAACAGCAGTTTAACACCCCCCAAGCATTGATGTTTCTCAGCATAGTTATCTCTGCTTTTTTTATTTCTACCCTTTCTCTTTACTGGTAGCAACATCCACCATCAGCAAAGCAGAATATCATTTCTTGCTTCATCCCACATATATTCTCCTCATACAAATTCAATAAGTAATCAGGCCCCTGACTCCCACCTCTAGATCACTTTCATCTTCACGCGTTCTATCCTTTCCTATGGTGGCTGTCTTATGGTTGATCTCATTATCCCTTGTGTGGAATATAGCAACCTCTTTCCAACTGACACTTTACCTTCTCGTCCGTCCTCCACACAACTCCCAGAAGAATCTGTCTAACCCACAAAGCAAAACCAGTACTTTCCCACTTGAAAGTTTTTGATCCCTCCTCATCGTCTTTAGTATAATTAAAATTTCTTCCAGCATGTTTAAGGTCTTTCCTAATCACATTATCTACAGAGATTGCATTGTTTTGCCTTTTTACTATCTTGTGTCTAACAAAGATACCTGGCACAGAGCGGGCATTTAGGAAATGTTTGCTAGAGGGCATTGAATACAGTGACGACTTCATAGAACAGATTCCATCTTCATATTTAAATCAATCTACTCAAACTTGGGGTAAATTGCTTTGAAAGTGATCTAATTTCTTTTCAAACAAATAAAATGTAATATCTTAGGGGAAAAAAACAGGAAGCACAAAATATTATCTTAGATGCTAGGGAACAATATTATAGAGATAACTTCTAGCATATTTTCCCATGTGCCTGAGATTTAGTCCCACATGCAGCGCCCAGATCAAGCATAAAGCACATGTACACCTCTACTCTTCCCCTTCCCAACAGACAATGGTGTTTCCACTTCAGTGATCCTAGATGCTGCCTTCATCATGGCCCCACTCCTGCTATGGTAACCAGTCCAAATAGATTATTGTCAGGCCTCCTTGGACATAGGACAGCCACTGATCATAATTTTAAAGCTTTGTTCCACCAGCCTTAAACTCAGGAGAGTACAGCTTCTTTCTGGAGATGCCAGGAAATTGTAGGTTGGGAAGCCTCTAAGGAACAGTGGGACTCGCCCAGGGAGCACACTCAGCCACAGCTTCAATCCTTTAAAAATGAAAGTCTGGTACCCACTCAAGGATTTAGGGAAGTACTTTTGAGTATAAGTTCTGCAGCGGCCTTGAGGAAACTAAAGCAGAGGGAGAGAGTGTCAATGTCTGCAAAGATGGGAGAAGGAACAAAAATGGGCACCATGAGGTTCAAGTTTCTAGGAGGAAGGCCCAGGCACCGAGCAGCCCACTGGAGGGTCACGTGTGTAACAAGAGCACACTCTACATTAAGAGAGAGCTGCTGCCGGCACGTGGCCTACAGCCACACACTGGATCCTTACAGCTCTACTCATTTTCCCTGTCAGGTAGGGGACATCAACAGAAGGAAGACAGGTTTTGCTCTTGACCACGGTAAGCTGAGTAAGGAGGAGCAGAAAAGTAGGAAATAGTTCACTCTACGTTCTGCACACTTGGACTTGGACCTCCTGCTGCTTTTGGCTGAGTGAGAGATGTGAATCTGAGCCTTTTAAGAAGGTTAGGGGGTTGGAGCATAGCCAGGTTAAAAGAATGGTTCTAACCATTTGACATTTAATATTTGACATTTTAATAATTACAGAATCATGATACTGGCTTTGTGTTTCTAGGTGGAAACTTAATGAGATCCCCAGTTTCTCTTGTTTATCTATTCACTCAAAAATACTTAGACATTTAACAAGTATCCTGTAAAAGACAGTGCCAATGAAAGTCTCTTGGACCCTATATCTGCATTGGAATGACACCAAGTTTCTCCCATCAAACCAGCTGAGTCCCCCAGTTCATACACAGTTGCTAAATCTTTCTAGGCACAATGATTATTCTGATTTCAGAAATTTCCTATATTCGCAAATTCAAGTATGTTGTGACATGGTTAGAGAAATGTTATTCCAGGTAAGTAGATAAAATCCTCCTAATACTTTTAAAGTGAATACAACAATCAGATAACTTAAATTCTGGGTTTCCACTGTTCTATTCCTGATTCAAACAAAAATACATCTTTACCATAAAGTATTTCATTATAATTTTTTTTAAATTAATTAAGTTGATAGGGAAACTAGCTCAAAATGAAATAACTACAGAACCATCTAACGTGATAGGCAGCTAAATATTATCAAGTTTTTAGTCAACGTCCAATTCACTGAGGTTAGAGTCAAGTGCCTTGCAGCTTCCTGAGTGAGGCCAACCTGATGACATTTCATGTTGAGAAACTTCCGTTACTAGCAGAAGTTCTGAGAAAAATAACATGAAGAAATTTTAGATACTCCATCACCCCCACACTTGCACGTACTTCCATCCCCCACCACCGTTAAAGAAAATTGTATAATGAATTGGCATACAGACTTCAAGTACTCCTTTATAAAGTGGGAAGTCATGTTAAAATTACGTAAATTTTCAGAGCAAAATATGTAGGGACTAAATATAGGGGACAGCAGCTTCTAAATTTGACCAGGTCATTTGCCTATGAAAATAAAGTAGAAGCAACACTTTTTAAATTCTACTTCCTATTTTACCACTGAATTCCTCTGATCACACCCGATGTTGACCTAAGCATAGCCTGGAGGTCATAGAGTTGAACCATCTGAGTTGAGAACTGTGTGACTTTGGGCAGGTCGTTTATCGTCTAACCTGAGTTTTTTGTGTGTTTGTTTCATCTACAAAGTGTTGTCAATTAAATGAGATGATATGTGTACAGCGCTCAGTATAATATATATAGCACGTGCATAAAAACCACTACCAATATTATATCAACTACTTCTTTTCTATCCAATGATGTCTGAACACACAACAGAAGCAGTGCACATTCTACCATAATGCAGGCATGGACTTAGAGTAATTTGAAATTCTTAAGATACTCCTTGTCTGGGGGCTAAGCCTACTGCGTGGCCCAGAAGCAATGAGTATCAGTTGGTTTAACCAAACTTCTCAGATAAATGACCACTTTGCTATGGCTTAGGAAGAAGCTATGCTGTATTTATCCTTGATTCCCCATCCTTGACACGTGATAGGAGAAATCATTTCTGAAGAACGAAGGATTGAACATATAAATGAATGCCTACATGAATGAATGAAAGAATAAATAAAAGTTTCTGGTTATTACTACTATTACTGCACATTGGACCCTGTTTGTTTTTTTACAAATTATGAAGTTGCAAATGATTGTGGTACAGGCAACAGAGAAGCCTGTGTACACCTTTATCTATTTATGAAGCTATGGACACTTAGGTAAATAATCCACCACGGGAAATCAAAGGCTAGAAAAAGACTGAGAGGCTCTCAGGAACACGTCATATGAGCTTCTCATTATTCCCCCTTTCCTATCTTCATCATGCAAACTGCTCACATTTGAATTACCAACAGAGTATCGGTAGGTCTGTGTGATACACATAATAAATTAAGGAACCATGAGAGAAGAATCTACAAAATGACATTTGTATATTCAGCGGTCTCTTTTGACCTTCTGAGGCCCCTGGTGGGCCTGAGTGCACAGCACCATCTCCTCATAGGGCAGGAGTGGGATCCTGATGTGTAAGTCTAACAGGAGAGCTCCCTCTCTGAGTTCTTGGGCATCAGGCCAAGTGAATGGGCAGGAATCATTCCATTTGCCAAGTAAAATGGGGTGAAAAGCACTTCTGGCACACTTTGTCCATATAAATTATACTTGTTTGCAATTCATCAACTTCTTCTCTCCTTTATATCCATATGTAATGTAAATGATCATCTTTCTCTGAAGCTCCATAATGATGCACAGCTCAAAAATGTGATAGAATCAGCTAAAAGAGAGCAGATGGAAGTTTTTACCCTGATATACATATTCATAAAATAAAAGAGAGAACTCAACAAAAGGAGATACATAAGTACTCATACCCGGGGGCTGCACGGACTTATGTATGACAGCAAGTTGGTTTTCTGCAACTGTTTATTCTGGAAACCTTTAGTCATTCATTCCTGCAGCAATCATTGAAAATTCACTGGAAAAAAATCTGTCTCTGCATAAAAACAAATGTATTTCCCTTTGGATTTTATTGCACCTTAGAATCCATGATTCAGGAAGTAACAGTTAAATATTTTACTAGAGAAACATAATTAGAAGGCAAACCATATAAAAAAGTGAAGTCTTATGTGTTCCTTTAGCAATCCAAACTACAGACATTTAAAAGCATACTGTTGTATTGAAAAAGCAATAGAGGGAGAATAATGAACTGTCTGAATCACATGTATCTTTTTTCTTTATTTAATATCTGATCACTAAGGGGCTAAGGAAGTGCATGCAGGTGACATGAGGATGCATCAGTGCTGCAAGAAATTTTGTTAAGACAAAGAAAATTACCATTAAAGAACACGCAGGGATTAAAACAACAACAACAACAACAAAACCATTCAAATGGTGCCTGTAATTTTGGTAGCATAACTACAGAAGTAACATTCATATTAAAATTAGATGTTTCTGAGCCCTATTCCCCCTCCAATCCACTTTCCTCTTGGGAAGCCCTGGCTCTTCTCAGGTAGGTTAGCCTATGTGGACTTTACATCCTAGATCTAGGGGTGGGGGAGCCTCCTCTGGATTCTAGTGAATGGGAAACTATGGGAGAGTCAGGATATTTGTTCTCCTCATGAGGTCAGTTTGTACTGGTT